CATTCAGACGTTAAGGAAAGACGTCAATCGCGCTAAACATGAATTTGTATGTTATAAATTTGAATAATTCAAGGAATAGAACAATGTTTTCTTGGTTGTTTTATACATGAACTGATCGACATTGTGACATAGCGACAATGATCATCTGATGTCAGGTGAAACCTAACAACACTGCCTTGATTTAAGTTGCGTGCAACTTGACCTACACAGTGGTTTCAATGTTTAGATCGGCAAATTGTGTTTGCGTATGACTCTCATTGACCCCATTACATACCTCGTCACATTTTACAACTTCCTTAAATTCTCGCTGTATTCGAGCAGCTGCTATATTAGACATTGTTACAGAATTAACAAAACTGTTTACAGCAGCACTCTATTTTTCATCTGCAATACAATATTTACAGAAAAAACTTTCTACAGCAATGACTTCACTGCAGTACTGCGCATATAAACTGCGCATATCAAGTACGGCCGAAGTTGGCGCTCTCATTGACTCGTTCGCATTGATTTTGCCTAAAATTAAATTATATGCTGGTCGGCAATAGTAATTCTAGTTATATCACAAAATGTATTCATTTATATGCAATTTATACTGCAGGAATATTTTTCATATTTTTTCTTTGCATAAGATCGTCTGATAACCTTGTTAAAATTATTTTAATTGTGAACAAGGTTATAAATACGACGCATGCTCAATTGTGATTTTTAATCCATCTTCCACTCTTCGCGCAATTTCGTGGAGTCGTCCTCTGGTACATCAGAACCTGGTTTCCGAAGCCTAAAACAGCTGCAAAGATGCCAAACATAAAACTTTTTAGCGGCAGCTCTCATGCTGATTTAGCCCAGAAGATAGCTGATCGACTTGGCATTGAGCTCAGTAAGGTGGTTACCAAGAAATTCAGCAACCAAGAGACCTGGTAAGTACAAAATTGGCGCGACATGTGTTGACAATTCCAGACACCCAATGGAATCGGCTATTTCACATATTGTTCGATGAAACAACGGAAGAAACCACAAGTCTTAAGTTTTATTCTGTGGACATTAACATATCATGAACACTGTTTTATCGATGTCTTTGTTTCTTGCCAAGTCGATTTTCGTTGTTCGCCTGACTTTTTGCGCGTGCTGTGTTAGGGTTCCCATAATAACTACATTTATAAAAAATGAAAGTTGTTGAACTGCAGCAACTTTTTAAAATGTATTTTCGCACAGATAGTTTTTTGTACTGTTCACTTATTTAAGCACGAATCTTTAAAAATATTCGGAACTTGCCACAATTCATATTTATTTGCAGTCTACTTTGACATCACTAAACACATTTTCCCGCGAAATTACATTGTGGTGACATTGTGGTGGTAACATTGTGGTAACAAGTTGTAAATGTCCTTGGCTTGAAGTCTATTAACCTATTGTGCAATGAACAGTTGTAAATTACCTCAACACTACTGCCACTGAATATATTTTTATTGAATTTTTGAACTCCTACATGAAAATGTTTGCTTGTAGGATTTGTTTTATGGAGTATGTTCTGTCATGGAGGTAAAGAGGAGTCACAGCCAAGCTTAGATCAAAGGTACCAGGATGGTCGCCGCTGTTTGTACATAGATCAGGTTGTTTATTTGCCGAACGGACCACGGAGAACAGTTTCCTCTTAGAGCAGTGAGGATTACGATGCATTAGCATACTAAGGACGCCTTCGACAACACTCAGTGATTTTCGTGACAATTCTAGTCAAATTCTTATAAACAAATATCGATAACGCGCACGAGTTTGGCTACGATGCTGAAACTGCTATATTCTTCAATTCAGAAGACGTAAACGAAATCAAAATCGAAGAGCATGTTGCAGACGAAGAATTGTTTTGCATATGCTGTGAACGAAACGATTGCTTGAAAACAAAAAAAGAAACGAATTTCTTGTACATGGTGTATAAAGAAAATTGAAGTAGGACATACATGGGATATAAACTTCAAAAAGTGTCATTTTGAACCTCAAAATTCAGTCTCCAATTCAACGCGGTGCGACCCATGTCATGCACCATTGCAAAAATCATTAAACAAGCTTTATTTTGGACTAAAAAT